GGTATTTGCACAGTTACAATTTTCAGCGATATCATGTGATCCTTGATGTTGTATATCAATTTATCCACACAGCACTTCTGTGTTTCAAGAGACTGAAAACAGTCCAGTGTTCTAAGTGTCACAGCTAACTGGCTAACTATTTAGTTTTATAAGCTCTCCAGTTAATGCTAATGCTGGCAAAAGATTGAGAATCTTTTTTGCTTATGTTGTTGTTCCAGAGACCAAACTTTGAAAAACACTATCCCAGAGAAACAATACCTGGAATACAGTAAGTTATTAATAAATGCTTATTGAATAGTTGAAAAAAATGGGTGGTGTTAATGAATGAAATTTGCTCATGCTGCTGTTTAGAATTGCTAGTGATTTTGTCGTAGTCTCTCCAAATAAGAGTTTTTCAAAGATGATGGGAAGATGGGTCATTTTATTGAATCTTATGTAATGTCACAGTTAAAAATGTTTTATACATCCTAAATGTTAAACAACTCCAAAATGGTACTAGAAGATACTCCTGCATCCTGTTGTCCTGTAGTGATGATTCTCAATGTGTGATCCCCAAAGGAACAGCAGCAGCAGTGCCTGTCTACCTATTAGGAATTCACATGGTAGCCAAGTGTGGTGGTGCACACCTGAAATCTCAGTGTGGCTCAGGAGGCTAAGGCAGGAGGATTGTGAATTCAAAGTCAGCCTCAGCAACTTAGAGAGGCCCTAAGCAACTTATCAAGACCCTTTTTCAAAATAAAAAAAAATATAAAGTAAAAGGGGCTGGGCTGTGGCTCACTAGTTAAGCACCCTTGGGTTCAATCCCTGGTGGAGAGAGAGAGAGAGAGAGAGAGAGAGAGAGAGAGAAAATGAATATGAAATAAATAAATAAAGTAATTCACATGGTATACTCACCTAAGCTCACTTAATCAGAAAGTTTACAGACATTCGTGGGATTCTGAAGCACACAAAAGTATAATAAACTTTGTTCTAATTGAAGGCTTAATAAACTGTCAATTAATCATAAGAAAATTAGTTAAAGGTGATATATCACTGTCCATCAAGTTTCAAGAGACTGGAAATTTCTGACTTTTCAAAGTGATATAAGCAAAGTTCAAAGGGAACGCTTTAAACTAGTTCGACAAATCTTGGAACACCAAGACTTCCTATGACAGTACCCTAATACATGAATTTTGTGATTAATGTTCACAGTATAACTATTACCGATGAGATAATGATCATTCTGGATGAGTGGCTTTGTGGTTAGCTTGCAATAAACCTGAATTACAAAAATTGGTTAGTAAAAAAACTATATAGGTCTTTCTCTTAGACCAGAGATGAGTCATGTGGGAGAATAACATCCAACCTTAGGTCATTTGGAGTCTAGTTTAGTTGTATCATGAAAATATTTTAGAAGCAAGAATTTCAGATCCTAGCAACAAAAATTAAGTTCCAATGCTGGATGGATATGTAGGAATTGCTGAAGTCAGGGCAAGCCACTCCCCACAACAGGATACCAGAAGAGCCCAGGAAAGAAATTTCAGAGTCTCTGACAATATCCAAAGAAAATAGATCAGTTTCTAATGGTTGCCAAACTCAGAGAATAGAAAACCGTCTTTTGGAATTACCCTTAAAATAAAAGGTTACAGGGATGAGATGTGGCTTGGTGGTAGATTCCTTGTCTAGCATGTACCAAAGCCCTGGCTTTCATCCCCAGCACTGCAAAAATAAATAAGATCACATTTTCCTCTTCCACTCCATCCTCACTTTTGTTTAACTTTGAAATCAGAAAGTACCTGGCAAGGTAGGATGGGAAAAGTGAATGCACATAGTAATGAAACAGAAGTCTACCATGCTCCTCTTTTCCACCACAGGCTTTCAAGAAAGGTGGCTTCTACAGGCTGGGGAGATGAGAGCATTTTAACCCTAAATCACAGCCAGCCTAGGCACTAATGTCTTGAACTGGACATTTCTCACTTCTGAATGGGGACTTCTTTGTTACTTAAAGTGATTCGGGGTATCTTATTACCAAAGGAAGGAGGAAAGATGTCAGGGACCTGAAGTTTTTCCTTTAGGGCAGAAAAACATTATCAGAACTGAACACATTTGAAAAAGATGGTGAGAGACAAAAATAAACTTGTGTTTTGATTATGTCAGAAGTCGTGCTTGCTCAACATAATGCTTACACACATATTGAGCCTCCAACAACTTGGTTCAAGTCCAAAAATTCTATAAACCAGAGCTGAGCCAGATTTGTGCATGTGAAGCCCATCATACTGTAAGTCCACAGTTGGACACACACCCAGATGCCCAGAGAAACATGGAGGGTGAATTCTATATTTAAAATAATTTGTAAAGGCATGGAAAAATTTTGCAGAGGCAAAGATCTGTAATAAATATAAAAGTTTTCATTTTTTTTGTTTGTGTTCCTTTTTGAAGATTTCATTTTGTCACCCACTGGAACGTGATCTAGAGTAAGACATATTCCTAAGGCTTCTATTTCCTTCTGTGTCATGAAGGACTGGGCTCGTAATTTCAAATGTTAGTAGTTATGATTCTGTAACATCACTATAAAAGTATATTCATCTTTGGGATCTTTATTTCATTCAGATTCTTTCCCTTAAGTTGAAGTGTGATATTTAGCAAGTTTCCTAATTTTCTATGTTATAGGTGCCTGATCCATAATGCCTGCCTGGTATTCCTGCAGGGTGGCTACAGAGCTCAAAGTTTTAATGATAGTCAGAATGATGGTTCCCAAACTTGTCCATGTCCTAATTCCTAGAAATTGTGAACATATTCTCTTTCATGGGAAAGAAGACCTTGTTTGTGCACGTAATTGAGGACCTAGAGAGGAGCAGATAGTCCTGTATATCCAGGTGACCCTACAATGACCGTTTCTTAAAATAAAGCAACTATTCCTAGGGTAGGGAGAGGGAACCTATAGAACAATTGTCAGAAAGAAGAAAAGTTTCAGTTATAGGAGAAAAGGAGCCACAATCAGTGAATGGGGATGCCTTCCAGGGCTAAAAATGGCCAGGGAAACAATGTTTCCTAGCGCACAGAGAGGGGAGCACAGTTCTGCTGTTGTGAAGTAACAATTTTTGAAGCTTCAGTTTTTGAAACCTACCATTTCTGAAGCATGGTTAAGACCTAATCAGACTTTGACCTCCACATAATAAATCTGCACTGCTTAAATCACAAAATGTGTGGTAATTTATTATGTTAGCCACAGGAAATGAATAACAGTATTCACATTATAGAAAGTTCAAAACCCTGCACAAATGAAGGCACTTTTGGTGGTAAAGGTAGATATTCTAAAATGATATGAAAAGAACATTGATTCTTAAGAAACATGCCAGAATGCAACCAAGAATGGAAAAATACTAAAGACTGCACAGAGCCAGCTCCTTCCTCCAAGGCTCACTCTTCTTATCCAGATGGTATATTCTTCTCTTAAATATCCATGCACAGAAATACAGCAAATACTCTTAGTCACTGATTTCAGAATACCACAATTTTTATTACAGAAAAATTCATTACATTTTAATTAAGACAGATTTTTAAAAAGTGCATAATTACTTTATTCTTAGTAGTGTTACCATGAAGAAAAATGTTCTCTACTCATGGCGAGCAACTATTCCCACATTAAATACTTTCAAGCTTGGAGTCCCAAAGAATATTCCTTTATCTTTGTTTTTAGGTGACACCAACAAATCTTTTTGGATATTCGGATTATTTAGATTACTTAATTTGTGAAGAGGATCTAGGCATTGCCTCTCTTTTCAGAAACCACTCTTCTCATTCAATTATGGTTAGAAGTAAGAAGTTCTTACTAAGCTATAGTTTGATAGGAGTAAGACTTCTGGTGCACCATTGCACGGTAGGGTAATGATAGGTAACAGCAGCATACTGTACATTTAAAAAAAAAAAAAGTTGGAAGAAAATACTTTGAATATTCTCACCATACAAAAATAAAAAAATGTTGAAGACACATATGTTAAAATAGGTTGAAGCATCATACAACATATCCATGTATTGGAAGATCACATGAGGCCCCATCAATAGGTATAATTTTTTGTGTTTTTACATACCAGTTAAAATAAACTGAATTTAAATTTAAGAGGAGTCAAAAACCAAACTAAACAAAAACACCCTTCTGTACTCTGCTCTGTAGTTGCTGAGTTTGAAGCTGTGCAAATTTCATTTTTCTTTTGCAGGTCAGCTTGCTGGTGGTTTCAATCAACAAAGATGGCGGGACGTGAGAATGACAACAAGCCTGCTGTTTACCGTGTGCAGCAGCATGGTGTCTGTTCTTCCTCCCGCCCATGTGGCTATCTTCTGCACCAGTGGGAAATTCCAGTCTGCTGTTTTGAATTCTATAGAACTAATCCCTCGGTGCCCCTCAGAGATATCATCCAATCTTCCTTAGTGGTTTGAGCTCCACCTTGCTGGGTGGCTCCTCTAAGACAGAGGCACCAACCCACTGGCAGCCCACCTCAGAGGGTTGTTTCTACTCTGAGGGACCCTTTTCTTCATTCTTTTGTTCTCCTAGTACTTGGGTTGCAGCTGCCTGCTGAGGTTACTGTCTGGCTGATTCCACTTTTGTTCACTCATCTCATAATAATATCAGTCTAACAGCTGGAAAAACATGCTACATTAAATTTGCTTTGTTAAAATTTTGATAACTTGTTCTGTGTCTTGACTGGAACCTGGATGATATAGGAATTGGAAACAAGAATTCTTCCAGGAAACAAACCCTCAATGATAGGCATTTGGGAATTGGTTTCTCTATGTCTTTGGGCTCACAGTGTTGTGCTTCTTGGTATAGGAATGAAATGCTAAATCCATAGTAGTTACTGACATGATAATTAATTAAACTATATCCCATGTTTGTGATTAAGTGACCTCTGAGGCAAGGCCTTTGGGATATGAAATGCTTGTTTCATTCAACTCTGATGGCAGGAAAGTTGATAACACAAGGACTTTGCTGTGAAATAACTGCTTCTGAGTGTTGTAAAGTGCTTAAAGAAATAAATCACCAACTGAGATCACAGTTAAGGAAGCAAAGGACATCAATGGTGGCCCTAAAAAAGAATGTCTTATAGCTACAGAGTTAGACATGAATTGTGAAAATTTCAGAATTGCAATTTACATTTGAGTCACAGTTTTGCAAATATCCCAGGTGAAAGTTAAGACATTTATGGAGAGCCACAAACGCCCGTTAGTTTGGATCTCCTTCCCCAGAGAAAACAATCTAACTCCCTGGTGTCTGAGAAGTCTAGATATCCCTTACTTGGAAAACTTTATATTAAAAAAAGAGATCTTATAATAACTGCATTTGGAAGGTTGTCTTACACACTGACACATGTTCTTATTATGTTCCCTGTTTTTTACCTGTCCTTACTGAAAGGACGAACAAGCCTTGTTATTGGAGTAAATGCCTGTTTATTGAGGAACAGCTCTGCATATTTATAGAGCCAGGGGTGGTTTGACAGTTGGCATGTGGTTCTTTTTGATTAGAGGGTAAGGATCAGGTGAGCCATCAGGACTGGTCTGATTGGTAGGTAGGATCAGGTGAGCCATCAGGACTAGTCTGATTGGTGGGTAAGGATCATGTGAGTCAGCAGGGCTCTGATTGGTGGGCAAGGATCATGTGAGTCAGCAGGGCTCTGATTGGTGGGCAAGGATCATGTGAGCCAGCAGGGCTCTGATTGGTGGGTAAGGATCACGTGAGCCAGCAGGGCTCACCACTGGATGGCTCTTCTTGGGGGATGGGGAAGTTAGTCTTTGGAGCCCAGGCGACTCCCAACATTCCCCCCTCTTTGTTATTAAATGAGAATGGGCATCATCAACTCATTCTGGCTGCTTCCTGCTGAAATGGGTTGGTGTGGGAGAAAGAGGAGGAAGTAAGGAGCCTCCACAGGAGGGCAGAGAAGACTGATGTCAACGAAGGTTCCTTGCCACCACAGATCCATGATGACGTCAGTCCATTCAGCATAGGTCTCCACTGGAGGTATCATCATTAGCCAGGGGTTGGTAATTCCTGAGGAGAAGCTGGTTAAAAACTTGATTAGAAATTTTACCCACCTGAGTCTGAATGAACTTTATGATAGGGGGAAGGAACAGGCACAGGGAGTTTTTATAGCCCAAATCTAATGGGGTCTCTGGGTCTGCAAGCTGCCTTGTTGGCCCAATGGGGGTTAAGTGTTCAACCCTGAGCAGGGGGTTGAGTGTTCAGCCTTTAGCGGGGGCTTGGGCATTTGGGCTTGAAGCAAACAGGTGATATAGAACCAGACAGAGGGTTTGAGAGGTCAGGTCATTCTGCAGCTAACTTTCTTTGGCATACCCTGCAGGCCCTACAGACTAGCCTGTCCTGCACTTAACACCCTCAATTCCATTCTTCATTCCTAGTTCAATCTAGCTCCCTCCCCTCTCTATTAAGGCTACTCTTCAAATTTTCTCCTACCTGGGTGTACCAGCTACCATATTTCCCTTTGAGAGAAATCAGATCTCTCCAGGTTTTATGTGAAACACCTCAACTTTAAATACTGATACTTGGAATTCTTATGAAACTGGGAGGCCCTCTGGAGCCCTGTGTAAACTTGAAGGTGGACGCACTAAGTGCATGCTATCACACTTGGCATAGATGCTCCAGCTAACCACTGGTCTGAGCATCAAGTCTCAGTGGTACTTACGTACACTCCAGCTGCCGTCAGAAGATGGTGACTTCTTCCCCTGGGAACTTAAAACTGAACTCTGACATGCATACACATACACATAGGAAAAGCAGAAACTCTATCAAAGCCTGTAACTAGCTCATGACACCAAAGCTTCTCGCTCTTCTATTGGCAAACGGGCAGGACCCAAAGAAGCACCTTGGTTTTTCAGAAGCAGGGAATGTGGATCACCCTATAACAGGGCAACCTCCACACAGGATGGAGAAATTGAGGAAAGGAAGGATTTAGAGAGCACTTCAGACAGGGGAAACCAGAGTGACGATAGAGCAGGTGGGCTGGACCAGAGCACACCCAACGCCTCACCCAAGGAAAGCTCAGGTTGCCTCCCAGGACAGTCATGGACTCACTGAAGGTAACTGGGTAGGGGTAGATGTAAGCAACAGGAAGAAACAACTTCATCAGGAACCCAGGCATGGGTACGCTGTTGGAGGGTGGTGATGGGAACACCAGCGTGTGCACATGCCCAAACTGTGCACGCCAACTATGTGAAGGGTCCTGCACACCAGTTACACTTACAGCCATAGGATCATAACTTATAATCCCAGGGGTACAACTTAGAATCCTCGGGGATAAAAAGTACAAATTCTGACCCAGAAGAAAATAGCTAATGGTCTAAATAATTTTTAAGATTTAGCTAGCTGACACCAGCAGAAATCTAGGGAATATATATGAAAATGAGTTTTAATAGCTTTACTGGTAGCCCCTTAAAGATAAAGCACAGTAGCGTACACTGTGGACTGAATATTTGTGCTCCTTCCTTTCATATGCTGAAATTCTAATCCTATGTGATAGTATTTGGAGATGGGCATTTGGGAGGTAATTAGGTCATGTCAGTGGGGACCCCATGATTGATCAGTGCCTTAATAGGAAGAGATAGAGAAAGCTGGCTTTCTCTCCCTCTCTAGATCATGAGAAGATACACTGAAAAGGAGGAAGCAGGGCTTCACCAAATATCTGATCTTGGACTTAAGAGAGAAATGGCTATCTTTTTGAGCAAATCAGCCTATGGCATTTTTGTTCCAGTAATCCAAGCTGACTAATGGAGAATATAATCTTTTGTTAGGCTAAATATTCTGATGTGGGTACATATTCAGAAATTCTGGATTTCACCTTCACTATTCTAGAAGAGTTCATAGCAGTTTTGTTGGTTGACTGTAACTTGAATATAATATTTCCTTCATTAAAGTCAGAGATATGGAACTTCCCTGGAATAATGTAAAGGAAAAAAAAACATCCAAAGTTTCTAGGAGATGGAAATATGGGTTGAAGCTAGTATTCAATACTTTGTGTTCATCTCTCCCCCATTTCATCCCCTAGGAGTGCTCAAAAGACAATCATCTCACTAAGGTGCTGAGATCTACATTGGTATTGTCACCACTAGCATCCTTGGTGAGCTGGTGGTAGGTTTTATTTCTGGGCTGGTTGTGAAGATGGAAGATAATTCCCTGATGTGAGAAGGAATGACAGGATCCCAGAGGAACAAAAGTCTATTGCAAGCACATAGCTGACCTAGACAAGGAGAGGACATTTACCATAATTATAAGCAAGTGTATACTGGAATTTATACCATTTCTAGGGGAACTTCTGAGGTTGCTTATTGATTATGATGCTCCTAGGAATAAACAAGATGGCTTGTTTAATAAATGCTACTTGATTAACATAAAACAAACAAATACTGTTAGTTCTGGTTTAATTTTTATCATAGAGAATCCCAGAGAAAATAGCTTTCATATTATAGTCAATTCACAG